GAATAAATGGAACAGTTAGCTAGCCCTTACTTTATTAATTCATCAAGCATTTATGACATGTTATTGGTGCCAAGTCATGTGCTAGAAATACAAATGTGGAGATCCAATTTGAGCCCTCAAAGGGCCCCTAGTCTTAAATCATAGTTTAGTTCTTCTCTTCTTGCATTACTGAACACTGAACACATACTCCCCAGTCCTGAGATTTCAGGAAGAACAATGAACTGGGGAGACTGGGGAAACAGGAGACCTGTAAAACTGATTGGCGGCATAAATTCATGATGAATGGATCATCACTTGTTCTTTTCTCTCTTCCACCTTTCTCTGATCTATCTACACATATATCATGTTTTTTAAAAAAAATGCAAAATGATACAAGTTAATAATTCAGTCATGCAAATGTTAGTCCATGTTCCCCTGGGGATCATAAAAGTAATAAACGAAATTGAATCATCATGCTTTACTACTTGTCCAGCATAAGTCATTCTGCTGGACAACCAAGAAACTGGTTAACTGCTATTTTAGGGTCCTAATAACTCATTTTCTATTATATCCCACTGTGTAACAGAGAACAGCAATGGAATTAGGCAACATATCCTAGCATGGGTGAGTCTGAGAGGTCCTAGAGTAAAATAGTAGTAGTTTAAACGAGCCAAGGATAACACAGGACTGAGCTTAAGCATGCATTTAATACGATATTTTAAAACTGAACCTGGGAATGGAATGTAAGAAACACATACAAAAATTTCCCTGGATAAAAGTCTCAATGCTATGACCGACTAATCTGTTTTTGCAGAAGGCAATGACCCATCCTTCAGTAAGAAAGACAAAGGGACATTCATCACTTACTGTAATACAGACATCAACACAGCAAGTCACCAAATTCTTGAATTCTTACTACATGACATCTCTTGTATATTTCCGTTAAAAATCACCCCTCTTTTCCATCCTTCCATGAAAGGCACTGCACTATAGAAATTGTGCTGTGTTTTAGTCGTTCAGTCATGTCCGACTCTTTGCAACCCCATGGACTGTAGCCTGCCAGGCTCCTCTATCCATGGGGATTCTCCAGGAAAGAATACTGGAGTAGGTTGCCATTCCCTTCTCCAGGGTATCTTCCCAACCCAGGGATCAAATCCAGGTCTCCCCATTGCAACAGTAATTAGGGCAATGAAGCTATTCTGTATGATACTGTAATGGTGGATACATGTCATTATTCATTTATCAAAACCCACAGGATATATTAGGTTGGCCAAAAAGATTGTTTGGGGTTTTTCATAACATGTTAATTTTACTATTTTTGGAACAATATATTTTAGTTTTTTGTCTTTTAAGTTTCATGCTTACTTTATAAGTGACTGACCCTCTACTTTATTATATATTTACCCTTTTGAGTGAGATATTTTTTTGGGGGGGGCTTCCCCTGGTAGCTCAGTTGCAAAAGAATCCACTGGCTAATGCAGGAAATGCAGTTTGATTCTTGGGTCAGGAAGATCCCATGGAGAAGGAAATGGTAACCCACTCCAGTATTCTTGCCTGGGAAATTTCATGGACAGAGGAGCCTGGCAGGTTACAGTCCATGGAGTCTCAAAGAGTTGGACATGACTTAACAACTGTACAACAAAAATGGTGAGGTTCTTACTTTCATGTGTTTATTTTTTTAAAATTTATTATTAATTAGTGCTATTTCTTTTCAGCTTAAAGAAGTCTCTTCATTATTTCTTTCAGGGTTGGTTTAGTGTTGATGAATTCCTTTAACTTCTGTTTATCTGTCTTGATTTCTTCAATTCTGAATAATAACCTTGTTAATAATTCTTGGTTGACTTTCTTCCTTTTAGCACTTTGAATATGTTAAGCCACTCTCTTCTGGCCTGCACTGCTGCTGCTGCTAAGTCGCTTCAGTCGTGTCCGACTCTGTGCGACCCCAGAGACGGCAGCCCACCAGACTCCCCTGTCCCTGGGATTCTCCAAGCAAGAACACTGGAGTGGGTTGCCAGGCCTGCACAGTTTAGGCTAAAAAATCTAATAGCCTTGTGGGTTTTAGTATGTAACAAGTATTCTTTTTTCTCTTGCTGCTTTTAGGATTTTCTCTCATCCTTAATTTTTATCATTTTAATTATAATGTAGAAGGTGTGTGGCTCTTTGGTTTCAACTTATTTGGAACTCTATGCTTCCTAGATCTGGATGTCTATTTCCTTTCCCATATTATGGAAATTTTCAGCCACTATTTCCTCAAATAATTTTTTTTGCCCCTCTCTCCTCTTGTGGGACTCTGTAATGGGAAGGCTATTTCACTTGATGCTGTTCCAAAGGTCCCTTAAGGCATCTTCACCACTTAAAATCTTTGTCATTTTGCTAGTCTGTCTGGGTGACTTTCACTGCTTTGTCTTAGCTTCTTGATTCTTTCTGCTGCCTCATCCAATCTGTTGCTGAACTCCTCTAGTGTATTTTTTAGTTCAGTTATTACTTCTCTTTGGTATTTTCTTCTGTTTTCTATCTCACTGTTGAAGTTCTCACTCTGTTCAACCAGTATTCTTCCAAATTTAATGAGCAACTTTATGATCATCATTGAACTCTGCCAGGAGACTGCTTATCTCTGTTTTTTTTAATTTCTTTTTCTGAGGTTTTCTCTTATTCTTTCACTTGGAACATATTCCTCTGTCTCCTTATTTTGCTTAATTCTGTTTGTTTCTATGTATTAGGTAAATCACCTGTCTCTCTAAGTCTTGAAGGAGTGGCCTTATTTAAGACATGTCCTATGGGGCTCAGAAGCATAAACTTGCTTTCCACCAGAGCCAAAAATTCAAGGGTTTGCCCAACTATTTGGGCTCTGTGTGCCTTCCAGTTTTGGCAAGGCTGTGGCTGTGGGTGGGGCTGGTCCCCAGACTGGAAGCAGTGCCCAGTCAAAACACAGCCCTAAGGCTGAGGTTCTGATCACTGGCGTAATAGGTGAGAGAGAGAATTCCAAAATGGTGCTTGACAGTTCTAATATTACAAAGTAGCCTGAGGTTGCAAAAAGGTCCATTGCTAGAGTTTCAAACCTGGGAGATTATTCCAACTGCTTTCTGACTCTCCAGCATATGTTTCAAAGCTAGTAAGTAGGACCCCTTCACCTATGATCCAGGCACTTTTCAACTGGTGTTTGTGTCCTGTGGGTCAACTGGTTTTGGGGTCTAGTAGGTCTGTAGGAAGCTCTTTAAGGGTGGACTTCTCATCCCTGCAATTCTATAGTTTTCCTGGACATACTCCCCACTGGTTTTCTTTTTTTCTCCCCACTGGTTTTCAAAGTCAGTTACTTTAGGGGCTCATCTCTCCTGTACAGGACCTAGGGGCTGGGTTCCTGGCATGGAGCTCAGATATCCTGCTCCTCAGGGGAAAGGTCCATAGCTCTGTGACCTTTCCCATTTGTACACTGCTGTGGTTGGGGTGTGGTTCTTTTCCCCTGGGGGGAGACTTTATCTCTGCCTCTCATACCTTTGGGGCTTCCCTTGTGGCTCAGCTGGTAAAGAATCCACCTGCAATGGGGGAGACCTGGGTTTGATCCCTGGGTTGGGAAGATCCCCTGGAGAAGGGAAAGGCTACCCACTCCAGTATTCTGGCCTGGAGAATTCCATGGACTGTATAGTCCATGGAGTCATAAAGAGCTGGACTCGACTGAGAGACTTTCACCTTTCACTCACTCATAGCTTTGATGCTGTTTAAATCCTTTGTTGTGGAGATACTATTCATCCAATTTGAAGGTCCCTTTCCAAGAAATTCATTCCAAATGCAGCTGTAGATTTCTTGTGTCCAGGGGAGGAGGTGAGTGCAGGATCTTCCTATGTCTTTGTATTGAACCCTCTCTTAAGGACAGTCAATTCTTCATCTCCCCTGAGGTTCTATGCTATGAATCTTATGGTAAATCTCCCTGTAAAACTAAAAGCGTCAGCCTTCTCTGCTCTTTCAAGTCAGTTGTCACATCTCAATTTGACAAGATTTACGAACATCTTTTATGTTTTGTTGTCTCCTCTTCACTCTGGTGGGTTTATACCATTTTTATTCCCATGTTATAATTTTATTGCAGCTTTAGAAGGAATCAGAGACAAAAACATGTATTTAATCTGTCAAGTTTTGATTCACTTTTTCCTTACATTTATTAAAAATTTCAATTAGGTTATCATTTATCTCTTATGATCTAATATGGAATTCACCTAAATTTATCAATATTTCTATAAACTTTGAAGTTTCTTATTAACTGGGTGCTATTTTTTTTTAATGAAATCTTTCACTTTCTTGTATAGTCTTTAAGTGGTATACAAGATGACTAGCCATACTTCCTGGCTTTTGATCTCTTTGGGGAGCTGTAAATGCACTGCTGTGTTTTATTACCAAGTGAATTTATAGGCACAGTGACCTGTTCCACATTCATTCATCCAGATGCAGCACAAATCTAAAGTCTACATATAAACTTCTAAGAAATCACCTTTGCCATCTAATGTGCAGTCCTATTTCCTGGGCGTGTAGGAGAATTGATTTTGTTAAAAGTAATCCCAGATGAAAATAAAAAGAAGCAATAGTAGTCCCTCAATATTTTAGTTGTTTAAGATATCTTAGCTGGAGAGTTTGTGTTATCTTATGAATTCTAGATGGCTCTGTTCCCTGCAGAGTATAGTTATTAATGAGTAATTACTGTATATATATTTCCAGTCTCTTTAAAAATCATATGAGGAATATCTCAGCCATCCTTCTATCTTACCATGATCATTAGAAAATTATTATTATTATTTCAGTCAAGATGAATAAGCTCTAGAGACCAGCTGTATAACACTGTAACTATAGTCAAAATAACTAACATTTATTAACAATAAAATGTTAAGATAGACCTCATGTTAAATGTTCTTTTCACAATTAAATAAAGATAAATTTAAAAAAAGAAAAACACCTGTACTCTTACTTTCCAAAGGCATGTCTATCTTTTTTAAAAATTGGAGAACTAAAAAATCTTGATAGTAGTTTGAACATACCATCTTTATCAGCAGTGTCTTGAGGCTTGTATTTTAAAGTGAAGATCTTTCGTAGCTTACAATTCGCTGAGACAGTAATTCCATCCAGTGACTGGAAAACTGCTCCTTTGAATATTTCATTGGTAAATGCCACCAAGTCAATGCATAGATTGCACCACTAAAATTAAAAAGGGAAAGAGGAGTAAGTTCTTTTTACAGTCACATAAATGAAGCAGCCATCTTATAAGTGGAAAGTTCAGTGAGTTGAGGCAATCAACTGGGTCAACCAGCCCCAAACCAATTTTTTTCCCTTTAGGTAAATCTATCTGTTTCGGCTTCAATTTTCTTAAAAACTATCTTGATTCTTCCAAAGAAATCATCATAATATGAACTACACATTGGTCACCTGGCTACAGAATTCCTATCGTGAGTCAAGGCTTTGACAACTTAAGAGAAATAACCCTAGATCTGTAGGCAATTAACTGCAGATGGGTTAGACCACTTAAATTTTGAAAATCAGAGATAAGTAGCCAATTGTTCCTTCAAGAGGACTAATTTGATCACAATTAGCCACTTATATTTGGTTTAAAAAAAAGCAAAGATGAAATTGAAATTGGAAGCTGGGTCTAAAGTGTGGCCAGTGCTGTCTACTTACCAATTAACCTATTGTACAGAAATAGATTCTTCTAAAGAATCTGTAATTATGCCTTGTATTTGCCAGTTTTTAAAGTACTCTTGCAGGGCCTAATTTCTGTCCATTAAACAATTAGAACCCTCAATACTTCAGCAGATGAATTCTCTAAATGGTATTACTGAGTTAAAGAAAAAGAGAAAATAATCATTTAATAAAAAATTAAGACATTTAAAACTGCAGGACAGAAGCAGAAAAGAGCATTTTTGAAGTTAAAGGAAAAGCAGTATTTAAAATTGTTCGTGCTTTCATTATTTGCTTAGAAGCACATTTTATATGAGGTTTATTTTATTAATCTATCAAAATCGAGAGATATATTAATTGACAAAGGAAATATAATCTCATTTTAAAAGTCAAATTCCATTTAAGAGTCTTGGTTTTAATATGGATGAGAATCTGAGTTTGTTTCCACAGTACAAGAGTAAAAAAGAGTACAGTAAAATATTGATTAAATACGGAAAATTATTTTCTTTGCAGATGTCTCAACAGTAACATTATATTTCCAGGTGATGGGACTGTTTTGTTCTTTTTTGGGGGGAAGGAGCCTGGTGTAATGAAATGTAGGAGGTAGGACTGAGTGTGATAATAACAACGAGGCTGGCCTAACCAGCAGGAGGCACTCTGTTGGGAGGTGTGGGAAGTAATGTGAGACAGGGCATTGAGGCCAAGTTGTGGATTGTTGGAAGATCAAGAAGAGAAATGTGGACCACAGAGGGTAAAGTGTCATTGTGGTTCTTGAAGGAGAATGTAAGAAAAGTAGAGTAAGTGGGGAAGTCTGAATTAACCTCAGTGAAGGAATATTTGGGGCGGTAGAGGGGTACTGAGGGAGAAGGCTGAGGTAGAATACAGACAGGCAGACCAGTTAGTCTCCATCAGTCATTTAAGCATGAAGTGCTAGCTTAGGAAGTGAAATGCACGGGACAAATTCAGTATGCATGCCATACGGCAAAACACTATGGTTTGGTAAAAGCAGGCTGTATGGAAGTTTTGGGGTTTTCAGCTATTTAACAATAATTATTAATATTATTATACAAGTATTATTGTTGCAGAAACTAGTAATTGAGAAACCAAGCACCACACTCAAAGAGGTGGAGAACTCAGGTTTATTATACCAGCAGGCCCAGAGGCGTTAACACTCTAAGCTCTGAGCCCTGAACAAAGGGGTTACAGAGTTTTTATAGACCTACTCTAGTGGGCAACACTAGCTGCTAATAGGCTGGTTTAAGGAACAGTGATCAAGATGGGGAGGGGGATGCCTGACCTTTTCATGGACAGGCATGATTAAGCAAGTTTGCAGGGGCTGGGCGATTGCAAAGAGCAGGACAAGGGTGAGTGAGATAAGTTCCAGATTGTAGTATTTTAAGTCCCCGCTTTCTGAGACTACGTGATCTAAGGGATCCAGACTTTGCAAGAAGCAAGCTGAGTTACAGAGGCAGAAGGAGCAGGAGGTTATGTAAAATTTTAACTTTTCCTCTTCATTATGACTGTTGTTACAAATTCTGGTCATATTCCTTAAAAATTTAACATTATGCCCCAATTTCAATCTTTCAGCTGGTTTGTCCCATTAGTAATCACATTTATCCATTCTTTCTCATAGGTTGTTGTTGTTTAGTCACTAAATTGTGTCTGACTCTTTGTGACCTCATGGACTGTAGCTTGCTAGGTTCCTCTGTCCATGGGATTCTCCAGGCAAGAATACTGGAGTGAGTTGCCATTTACTTCTCCAGGGGATCTTCCCAACCCAGGGATCAAACCCGTATCTCCTGCTTGGCAGGTGGATTCTTTACCACTGAGCCACCAGGGAAGCCTTCATATAGGTGCTACATGCTTATCAGGTGTTGAGACACTGAGCATAGCTCCAAGGATAGAGCACTGAATAAAACTCCTTCCAGTCTGGGAAGGAAACCAGACATGTGGCATCTGTTATGTATAGTGAGTACAGAGGGTGGGAAGGTGGGGATGTTCAAGAAAGGCTTCTTTTAAAAAAATTAAATTTTTTTTTATCATGACAGTGTATGCAAATATAGGTTAAATATAGTGCCAATAGTTTTACACAAAATGTAGCCCTCTGTCACTTTTTCACTCATCCAATCATACTGTCAACTCTTAACCATTCCCTCTCTCTGTATTTTTAAATAGTATTCATTGATTCATCAATTTTAGACATTTATCTGCTGACTTATTATGGTAAATAAGACTTTTAGCTCATTTACACACCTAAATTTCTGACTTCTTCCTCCCAAGATAATTATCTCTCATTCTCTTTCTCCCTTTTCCTTAAAATCTATATTCTGTGTTCTCCTTATTGTGACTATGTAACTATTATGAAACCTGAACCAAGGGCTACTCTATGATTACCTTTCCCCCCTTATACAAGTTCCTCATATTTCCACAGTTAATAACTGCTTTCCAAATTATCTCTTTTTTGAAATAAATATTTTAAGTCTTTCGACATTTAGAAAACGCTTGGAGGTGACATCTGAGTTTGGTTTTGAACAATTAATAAGGGTTTCCGGGGCCAGGGAGGCATGGGAATGTGCTGGGTAATTTTTTTTCTCAGTAACCTGCCCCTTTATTTTCTGCTTAGATGAACTCTCCAGCTGGCTACACCTGAAGACCCCACTGGACTCTGCCAGCTCTGCTTGGAACTGGAGTCGACCTCCTTCACCCACGGTGAGTACAGGAAACCAGGCCCTTACCCACTAAACGCTTTTTCCCCCTCACACAGCTTTACTGAGAAATAACTAACACCACTGTATAAGTTTAAGCTGTGCAGCTTGATGGCTTGATTTATTTGTATTGTGAACTGATTACTACAAGAGGTTTAGTTAATATTCATCATCTCACACAGATATAATAAAATGGAAAGAGACTTCTTCTTGTGATAACTCTTAGGATCTAGTGTCTTAACAGCTTTACTGTAGTTCATCAGCAGTCACCATGTTGTACATGACATCCTTCAGTTCAGTTCAGTCCAGTCGCTCAGTTGTGCCCGACTCCTTGCAACACCATGGACTGTAGTATGCCAGGCCTCCGTGTCCATCACCAACTCCTGGAGTTTACTCAAACTCATGTCCATTGAGTCAGTGATATCATGCAACCATCTCATCCTCTGTCATCCCCTCCTCCTCCTGCCTTCAATCTTTCCCAGCATCAGGGTCTTTTCAAATAAGTCAGTTCTTTGTAGCAGGTAGTCAAAGTATTGGAGTTTCAGCTTCAACATCAGTCCTTCCAATGAATATTCAGGACTGATTTCCTTTAGGATGGACTGGGTGGATCAACTTGCAGTCCAAGGGACTCTCAACAGTCTTCTTCAACATCACAGTTCAAAAGCATCAATTCTTCAGCGCTCAGCTTTCTTTATAACTCTCACATCCATACATGACTACTGGAAAAATCATAGCTTTAACTAGATGGACCTTCGTTGGCAAAGTAATGTCTCTGCTTTTTAATAAGCTGTCTAGGTTGGTCATAACTTTTCTTCCAAGGAGCAAGTGTCTTTTTATTTCAAGGTTGTAGTCACCATCTGCAGTGACTTGGGAACACCCCCAAAATAAAGTCTGTTACTGTTTCCCCATATATTTGTCATGAAGTAAAGGGACCAGAGCCATGATCTTAGTTTTCTGAATTTTGAGTTTTAAGCCAACTTTTTCACTCTCTTGTTTCACTTTCATCAAGAGGCTCTTTAGTTCTTCTTTGCTTTCTGCAGTAAGGGTGGTTTCATCTGCATATCTGAGGTTATTGATACTTCTCCCTGCAATCTTGATTCCAGCTTGTGCTTCATCCAGTCCAGCATTTCTCATGATGAACTCTGCATATAAGTTAAACAAGGAGGGTGACAATATACAGCCTTGATGTACTCCTTTCCTGATTTGGAACCAGTCTGTTGTTCCATGTCCAGTTAAGTTGAACGTTCTATGAAGACATACAAGACATTCTAGAACTAATAATCCAAAAATATGTCCTTTTCATTATAGGGGACTGGAATGCAAAAGTAGGAAGTAAGAAAATACCTGGAGTAACGGGAAAATTTGAACTTTGAGCACAGAATGAAGCAGGGCAAAGGCTAACAGAGTTTTGCCAAGATAATGTACTGGTCATAGCAAACACCCTCTTCCAGCAACACAAGAGAAGACTCTACACATGGACATCACCAGATGGTCAATACCAAAATCAGATTGATTATATTCTTTACAGCCAAAGATGGAGAAGCTCTGTACAGTGAGCAAAAACAAGACCGGGAGCTGACTGTGACTCAGATCGTGAACTCCTTATTGCCAAATTCAGACTTAAATTGAAGAAAGTACACTAGACCATTCAGGTATGACCTAAATCAAATCCCTTATGATTATACAATGGAAGTGACAAACAGATTCAAGGTATTAGATCTGATAGACAGAGTGCCTGAAGAACTATAGACGGAGGTTTGTGACACTGTACAGGAGGCAGTGATCAAGACTACCCCCAAGAAAAATCAATGCAAAAAG